CTGGTATAGTGTTTTGACTCGGCCACATGGTGTGTTAGCTTTTGGTATAGTGTTTTGACTCGTCCACATGGTATTTTGACTTTTTGTATAGTGTTTTAACTTATTCGTATAGTGTTTTGACTCGTGTATTGTTTTTTTATGTGGTTTGTCATGTAATGAAACAAGTTGTTAAACATTGAAATTATGTTTTCTCCAATATATTTTCCGACTCATTTAATTGAGATTGTAAAACTTGAAGTTATATTGTAATATATAAGGTATGTGTAGGCGCATTTAATCGTCCGAGATAAAAAAAAAACGGTACATTTGTCGTGATTTTTTAAAACACGAATATACAATCGTTACTTTGTTGAAAATAACAAACCTACAATCGTTTCTTCAAACTTGTACACAGTCGCGGCCGTGGTGTTCTGTCGCGAGGCGCGACACTGGTGGTACCATGCTGGGACAGAAAGCTTGCCAGGGACACCGCGCCCGCGACGCGGTCGCGAACGTGACAAATGATAAGGTCGCGGCTGTGGTGTTTATCGCGGCCGCGGAATAAGTGGCAAGCAATCTGTCCAAACTTTAGCTGCCCCAGTGTCGCGGCCGCGACACAAACCACGCCAGCGACACGATGTTTCACATATGTAACGACTGTAGAATCGTTGACTATTAGGAAATAACGACACTACAATCGAATTTGACACTTAAGTTTGTCGCTGTAGCGACATCAGTCGCGGCCGTGATGTTTGGAAATGTCACGCCTGAGACGTTCATCCCGCCCGCGACCAGTGTGGCAAGCTTTCTGTCCAATCATTATAGCACAGTGTCGCGACCGCGATAGAGGCCGCGACCGCGACATTTGGACTTAACAAACTAACGATTGTAAAATCGTTAATTAAACAAAATAACAAGTATACATTCGTTAGTATTGAAATTATAATTAAAATACTTTCGTTTGTGTTTATTTTCATCTCAATCGATTAAAACACATACATTCGTTATTTATATATATATATATATATATATATATATATATATATATATGTGAACTCACTACATTCGTTATGTTTTATACTTTATTTATATAAAAAAAAATATAAGTTACTTTTTTTATATATGAATTCACTACCTATACTAATTTGATTATAATTGATCGAGATTGTACTAATTCGAGTTCGATTGTAGTAATTTGACTTTAATTGGACTAATTCGAGTTCAATTTCATTATAATTGATCGAGATTGTACTAATTTGACTTTAATTCCACTAATTCGACTTCGATTTCATTATAATTGATCGAGATTGTACTAATTCGAGTGAGATTGTAGTAATTTGACTTTAATTCGACTAATTCGACTTCGATTTCATTATAATTGATCGAGATTGTACTAATTCGAGTTCGATTGTAGTAATTTGACTTTAATTGGACTAATTCGAGTTCAATTTCATTATAATTGACCGAGATTGTACTAATTTGACTTTAATTCCACTAATTCGACTTCGATTTCATTATAA